TCCCTCACACAAACACGAGCTTCAACAAATAACACCCACCACAAGGGACAATGGCAACAACGGCATGAGGTGCAACTGCGTTGCCAGTGCATCACAGTCATTCCCGTCTTCTCATTGACTTCATCGACACACACACACACACACACTTCGAGTTTATTGCCCCCAGAGGCACCAGTGCAACCGGTTGCCTTCCCGTGCGTGGATGATGGCACCCTCATGGAGTGGATTTGATGCTGAGGCCTTCTGGGTGTTCCGCCATCCCCTTCACTTGACTATTTTGTTAAAAATCGACTTTAATCATCGGCTATGTTACAGTAAGAGATATTTATCTACGTCTCCCAGGTGTTCTGAAACACCGATATTATTTGTTCTGCCCACACAACGTGAAGTTGTTTTTCAGTATTCAAAGCATTTAAGTCTACGCTAGACTTACGTATCGAGGGAGGTCTCAAAAGGAACGAAAAGGGAGAGGAATGGAGGAGACCATATTGAGTATGTAAAGCAATAATTTTCATAATGAGTCATTGTTCGCACTCTCCTATCTTTCCTCATCTCTGCGTTAGTGTCCACAGCCTCAGAAATAGTGGGAAGGGCTAAATCGTTTATGAACCGTCAAAATGGCGTGAACTGTTTATGTGGCTTTTGAGCCACATAAACTACCACCACCAAAGCTACCAAAAAGTTCACATAACCAAAACTATTGCCTTGAATGGGTGAATCATGAAACCGCCATGTAATGACCTTGAGAAGCCACGAAAGTGACTAGAGAAGTGAAAGTTCCGATCACTCATCAGTTGCATGAAGATGGCGAAACAGATTAGGATGTGCTATTTTAACACAGCTTTCGGCTTTTCATTCGTTTAGTAGCTGGATGCATAAAAAAATGGGGAAAAACTGCTGGACAAAAGCGGGAATAGGGGGACGCCGCTGTCAAGCGTCGGATTTTGCATTCACTTTGAGCAAAAGTTTAGGCTTCGGAAAGCCCTGAAAACCCGTCTAACCTTTCGCATAATACTTAGGTCCCTTCTGCATTCCCATTTATTCCTTTCTTCAGGTTTTGATTCATCTTTATGGCGAAAAACTAGAAAGTGCACTTTTCCCTGGCATCACTTATGAGGTGGGAAAAAATCTCAAAAATGTGAAATTTAAAAAGGAAAGAGTGGAGCTTAGAGTAGTTTCTGTGCCAAAAGGGCCTTGTTTATTACCTAGTTTATTGTAGAACAAAGCGGCTGATTGATGGTGCAGTGCATCAGGTCAATCATCTCCAAGTGAAAAAAAGGTCTTGGAAACGCGATAAACATCCCATCTACATCAATCTACTGACAATGTTATAAGTAGAGCCTCGAGCGATCAGCAAAATTAGAGCTGGCCTAAAATATTTCGGCAGATGGAAAGATTAAATAAGTGGATTCTGAAAAGAAGTCAACTAGCCAATTATGACAATGTACCTCGAGAAGTGTCTCCAGCAGCGCTGATAGAGGAGGAGTTGTTTGGCGTGGAGGGGAGATGGTCGGAGACGAAGAGTTCATCAGGAAAGGATTTGGGATCAGAAATTGGCATGATCTGCGTCAACGAAGTCTGAATGTAGATTGGGGCGTCCAAAGGGATGCTGTTTATCCACCGTTCCACCGATTGCATTCGCTCCTACGGTATGAAAAGCATTAAAACACCTTGTAATTCGATTTATCGTCAGCCATTCGACCAACGGCGTAGCAAGATCGAATCTCGCTTTAAAAATACATTCATGTAGTCAATTGGATGAGAGACCTATGATTACTGAAGAAGACAATCTTGGTGCCTCGTTAGTATCGTCTTTCCTGTTGGTCTGCTTTAAAATTAAATCAAACAAATCTGATCCTCTAACAGGTAAGCAGACGCGACCCAAGGCAACAACAAGGGTTCCGACTTCACTAGTAGACACTCACAGAAAGGAGATCGGGACAAGCAAAGACAGGGGAACTTCACAAGTCAGTTTACGGAATTAAAAAAAGAATTGCAGTTCTCAAAGACGCGACCAAAGCCGTCTTTACTATCCAGAGGACAGGATCCAAATAAAAGGGAGGTAAAAAGAAGTTCTATGAATATACTGTCACCTTGCTTTCCAGAGATGGTCTGCTCCTAGTAACCCCAACGGAACCGTACACACGCTCCTCTGGATATGC